CCTGTCCAAGGCATAGACATAAAGCAACCCTTTGCTGCTCTCCACCAGAAAGATTTGTGACTTCGCGGTCCTTCAATTCTTCGATTTGAAGAGGCTTCATCACGTCCGTCACAAACTGGGGATGAGTGCAGGAATCACGAATTTTCATATGAAGGCAGTCTCCGACAGTTAATGCAGGCAATCTAATTTTCTGGGCCTTGTAAGAAACATGAAGCTTAGGTATCTCCACATTAGAATTATGTTTGAAGTGATTGGCCTACAAATTGAACCGATATATATCGTGACTCCACATATCAGCATTTTGAAAATATGATGGAACAAAAACGAAGTGTTAAAGACATACCAGCATTTTGATAAACGTAGTCTTTCCTGTTCCATTCTCACCCAACATCACAATAATCTGAGAATCTGTAAACTCACCCTCAATCACTTGAAGCTTGAACTTTCCCAAAGTTCTAGCCATTGATGGGTATCTATACCGTGCATACGTCCTGATTTCGTCACCACTTTCTTGTGGAGTCTCAACAACCTAGACAAGGCAACAACACAATCAGAAAATACTGATCGAGTAAAAAACAGCATTTTCAATGACAAAATTTATAATCTTAAATACCTTGAAAGTCAGAGATTCATCCCGGAACCGTAGATTTTCTGTAGGAATAAATCCAGACAAGAAGATGTTGATTCCTTCTCTTACTGAGAAAGGTAGAGTTACAACTCCATATGCGCGCGGTTTCCCATATAAACAACAAATGTGATCTGATAAGTAATCTAGAACGCTCAAATCATGCTCCACAACAATCACATAGCTGAAAAAACGTAAAGAAATATACCTATATAAGCAAGAAATGATCCAAAAATACATAAACAATGGAAAATTGAAGCAAGAGGAGAGAGATGGAAACAAACCTATCAGGCCTGGTCAAAGATCGGATAACTTTGGCTGCTTTAAGCCTTTGCTTCACATCAAGAAAACTTGAAGGTTCGTCAAAGATATATATATCTGCATTCTGCATTGCAACAACAGCAATGGCAAATCTCTGAAGCTCTCCACCGGATAAATAGCCTATATTACTGTCCAGAACATTGTTCAGCTCGAGATCAACACACAGCTCTTCCTTCATCCTCCTCTCATCGATCTGTTCGAGCACCTCCCTTACTGATTTTCCATCATACTGTCTTTGGATGTCTTCGACGTCTTGGGGTTTGATAATTGCCTGTTGTCGGAAAAGAAATGCATGTAAGACAAGTATGCACTTAGCAAGAAGAAAAGGCACTAAACAAGTACATGAAGGAGAAATTTTAACATCATATGCTATTAAGGACATGAGCATCAAAATCAAAGTGTACCTTCAATTTATCTTCCAGGAGATGAATAAAATAACTCTGCAGCTCAGATCCTCGAAAGTAAGCCAAGATTTCCGGCCAAGCAGGAGGTTTCTGCAAAACAAGCATCCAGATATAGAGTCATAAAAAATAATGCATCAAATAACAAAGCTTGAGAAAGTGATCACATAGTAATTAGCAAAGGGGGGAAAATGTT